TACTATTGACTTAGTAGTTTAGAATCAAATATGCTTTCTTGTTTTCTTCTCATGAGTCATTTATTATTCCAAGACATTGTTCTTCTTCTCATTTACTTTTCTTTCCCTGAGATATTTGTGATGATTATCAGTTATATTAATATCCTTTAAAAGACTAAATGCCTGCTTATATGTTCAATATATACTTTTAAATGCCTGTTTCATTCTCCTTTTCAAATTTAACACTTAAAATATTTTCCCTCTGACAAATTAATAAAATAATGTTCATTAAAGGTCCGTGCGAATTGTAAAGGGCTAATAACGTGTATTTATAATTCTTTGTTTGTTTAGGTTAGATTGGGATGGTGTTCGTAAGCATTTGGATGAATATGCATCTATTGCGAGTTCCTCAAAAGGAGGAAGAATTGGAATTGAAGAATTTGCAGAGTATTTAAAGTTGCCTGTTTCAGATGTCTTGAGACAACTTTTTGCACTCTTTGATAGGGTATGTTAAAATTTAATCTTTAACATTTTCACTCTTCCAGTCTCCACAGAGCATAAATCAGTATGGCAGGCATTTGAAAAATCTCTCAGGTCAGTGTTAGAAGAATCAAGGCTAAGCCAATGGTTTAATTGTATGATTTTGTTTTTTCCCCTTAATAGTAATAATAGTAATTATGTGTGTATCACAACATTTATGATAGTGTCATTTTTGACATGATATGATATGATATGATGTGATAGTGTCTATTTATTTTAAATACCAGGCCAGAAATAAATATTGTGACTATATAACCACATTTGTGATATGGAATCGGAAGAGTTTATATAATTGGAAAGAATTTTAAAATTTATATCAAAGCTCATATATTGATGAAATGGGTGGTAAAATTCTATTCTGAAAGTTTTTGGACTTCCCCCAAAGTGTGTAAAGACCAAATAGATTTTATTTTCAAGTGAAATTTTATAACAACAGTTTCAATTAATATCTGGCAATTTGCCTTTATTTTGGGGATACAGTTTGCTGCTTATGAATATGTAAGTACATGCAGTTAGATAATTGAATTGTTGAAAAGTTTCCTTAGGAAAAATGTAACAAGATTTCAAATTGTCTATTTTTTAACTTGTTTTTTAATGTACAAAACTGATAATAAAATACACTCTTGTGGTTACAGCTATATGAGTTGTAACAAATGCTTAGAGGCATGTAACTACCACTACATTCAAGATACACAGCAGCTGCAAAAAAATAAATATTCGCTTGTAGCTATCCATTTGCAGTCAAGCCCTTCCCCCACCCTTAACCCCTGGCCATCACTGACCTGTTCTGCATCTCTATAGTTTAACTTTCTCCAGATGCCACACAAATGGAATCATATGGTATATGGTCTTTTGAGTCTGGCTACTTTCACTTAGCACAATGCATTTGAGATTCTGCCATAGTGTTGTATGTATCAATAATCTGTTCCCTTTGATGGCTGAGTAGTATTTCATTGTATGGATGTACCATAGTTATTTTATCTGTTCTTCAGTTGAGGAACATTTGATTTGTATCCGGTTGGGGGCAATTATGAATGGAGCTGTCAAGAAACCACTTTTTTTTGCTCATCCATAAGAAGCAACTCCTCATTCATTCAAGTTTGATCATGAGATCGCAGCAATTCAGTCACACCTTCAGGCTCCACTTCTGTTTCTAGTTCTCTTGCTATTTCTACCACATCTGCAGTTACTTACTCCACTGATGCCTGAACCCCTTGAAGTCATCTGTAAGGGTTACAATCAACTTCTTTCAAACTTCCATTAATGTTGTTATTTTGACTTCCTCGCATGTATTACAAATGTTCTTAATGGCATTTAGAAGGATGAATCCTTTCTAGAAAATTTTCAATTTACTTTGGTCAGATCCATCAGAAAAATCACTATCTATGTCAGCTATATATAACCTTATGAAATATACTTCTCTAATCATAAGACTTACAAGTTGAAATTACCCCTTGATCTGTGGGCTGCAGAATGGATGCTGTGTTAGCAGACATGAAAACAACATTCATCTCGTTCACATCTCTGTCAGACTTCTTGGGTAACCAGGTGCATTTTCAATGAGCAGTTGTAATTTGAAAGCCATCTTTTTTCCTGAGGAGTAGGTCTCAACAGGAAGCTTAAAATATTCAGTAAACCATGCTCTGAACAGAAGAGCTGTTATCCATGCTTTGTTGTTCCATTTACAGAGCACAGGCAAAGTAGATTTAGTATTAATACAATTCTTAAGGGCCCAAGATTTTTGGCATGGTAAATAACCATTGGCCTCAACCTAAAGTCACCAGCTGCATTAGCCCCTAATAAGAGAGTCAGCCTGTCCTTTGAAGCTTTGAAGCCAGGCATTGACTTCTCTCTAGCTTTGAAAGTCCTAGATGGTATTTTCTTCCAATAGAAGGCTGTTTTTTCTACACTGAAAATCTATTGTTTAGTGTAGCCATCAGTGATCCTAGCTAGATCTTCTGGGTGCTTTGCTGCGGCATATGTATCAGCTCTTGCTGCTTCACCTTGCACTTTTGTGTTATGAAGGCGGCTTTTGTCCTTAAGCCTCATAAAGCAGACTCTGCTGGTTCCCAACTTCTCTTCTGCAGCTTCCTCACCTCTCTCAGCCTCCCTAGAATTGAAGGGAGTTAGGGCCTTGCTCTGGATTAGGCTTTGGCTTAGGGGAATGTCGTGACTGGTTTGATCTTCTGTCCAGACCACTCAAACTTTCTCCATAGCAGCAATAAGACTGTTTGTTTTCTAATCATTTGCATGTTCCACCAAAGTAACACTTTTAATTTCCTTCCAGAATTTTTCCTTTGCATTTACAACTTGATAACTGTTTCATGCAATAGGCCTGGATTTCAGCCCGTCCAGGCTTTTGACGTGCCTTCCTCGCTAAACTTAATCGTTCTTAGCTTTCGATGTAAAGTGAGAGACGGGCGGTCATTCTTTTCACCTGAACACTTAGGGTTATTAATTGGCCTAATTTCAATACCGTTGTGTCTCAGGAAATGAGAAGGCCTGAGGGAAGGGACAGAGAGAGAGAGACTGGGGAATGGCCGGTTAGTCCGAGCAGCCAGAACACACACATTGATGAAGTTCACCGTTTTATGGGCGTGCAGTTCGTGTGACACCCCAAAACAATTGCAATAGTAACATCAGAGATCACTGGTCATAGATCACCGTAACGGGTATAATAATAATGAAAAAGTTTGAAGTATTGGGAGAATTACAAAAATGGGACACAGAGTCCCAAAGTGAGCCGTACTTTTGGAAAACTGGAAGCTGATTTAGTTGCTTGACACAATGCTGCCGCAAACCTTCAATTTATTAAAAAAACAAAACAAAACAAAACAGAAAACCCAGAATCTGTGAGTAATATAAAGTGAAGCACAACAAAAGGAGGTTTGTCTTTCCTCACCAATTCTCCTGCTGTGGTATTTTGTCCAAAGATAGTTGCTTTTTGTATTTTGTCCAGTTTCTAGTCGTAATTGGGAGAGATAGGGTCAACTGGGCTTATTATATCTGGGGTGGCACCAGAAATCCCAGTTTTCTTGCTAACCACTGGGAAAAGATATTTTGCAAAGAAATTATAACTTGATGACAGAAACCAGGACAAGACTTTTCTTCTGTTTTTTTTTTTTTCCTGGAGCACACTAATGTTTCCAGTGACTTATTCTGTGATCTCATAGATGAACTATTCTTTAACATGATGCTGTTAAGCAACCTTCTTCTATACGTAGTGCCTGGGCCTCTCTTCTGGGCTTGCTTGCAGCAAACAACTAAATTGTCTTCATTCATGAAATGATAATGTATCACTGCGTCAGTATCACTGTAAAGTGTAAGGAAGATTAGGGCAAGGGAGGAGTCAATTATTGGATGTAACTGTGCAAACTGGGAAATTAGAGGTACCTTTTCACTTGTGTGATTATTAATCTTCCTATGAGATTTATATAATGTCCATGCAAGTCATTTTAATTAAAAATTTTATATAGATAAAATTGGTTACAGGAAGGAATATGGCAAGGACAATACGAACAAGGGCAGGAGGCAGGGAAATGGGAAGGGCCTATGCAACAGGAGCAAAGGAGGAAGTTTATAGTACATCGTAGACATCGAGCTCACCAGGATTTTTAATCAAAATTAAAAATAATATCTATAGGTGTTGCCCTGTCCTTCAGGTGTCAAACTGTCATTGCTGGCAGTTGCAGAATTATGATGACACCAGTTCTGTCTTTTGATGATTGATGATACCTGCCAACAGCCTCATTCTTTCTATGGCATTGTTAAGTAAAAGAGGGTTCGGGAGTAGGGAAGGGCACCTAAACCAAGGATTAAAATAACTGGCAGTTAGCCAGGTTAACTCACTCAGAACTAGAGAAGACAGAGACTGGAGAGCCTTTGTCGCTATGTGGTCAATCACACTTCTCCATGGACTGCTTCAGCAGGCTCACAAATTATTTTATAAGTTTTTTTTTGATTCTTTATATAGTGTGATTTAGGTTTAGATATACCCCATAAGCTGGTCTTTAAAGTGGTTTTCTTTTGATCTCCAACATACTGGAAGGTCAAGAAAATAGTCTAGAGAATTAATGGTTAATGCATTTGACCTTTCTTTCTTTCCTTTTTTCCTTTCTCCC